TGGATGACTGGAAATCTCGGAAGTTTAGGCGAATTTCTCACCGATGTCCTTAAAAAGATATAGGCACTTGATGATTTCAATATTCTAGACCCAGTTTATTTATTTCTGACTGAAAATTTTCTCAATGAACCTCTTCGGGGTCTTAGTTCAACTCTTCTGTCGAGTACTGAAGTGGATAGGGTTTTCTACAGGGTTCGTGCGAGAATGGAAATGTCTAAAGAATCCTAAGAGATTATTAACATTTCACTGTGTGATCGATATCGATTCCTGCTACAATTACACAGGGTATACAAATCATATATAGCTTAGATCCGATAGGCCTTCGAATATGTGATACTACTCGATATCCACATCCAAACAAGGAAAAGGAAGTAGAGCGAAACCACACATTCTTAGCCTATGGGATCCTTACTATATATAACCTTGGGAGTATACCCTCTATAATTGTAGGTATATCAGTAAGGATCTTTTTAGTTCTTCACACAAGGTTATCTATGAATCCTAAAATACCCCAATGGTATTTTAATTTCTTGTTTGTTTCTTATCTTCTGAATAATGATTTTGGGATTAATGTGAGTCTTTTAGTATTCCAAAATACTCCCATAGTATTTTTAAACTTTATGTTTGGCTCTAGCATTCCTAGTTGGTAAGTTTCAGACCTGTTGCAACACCACTATCACTCCCAAGCACACGTTCATCGCATCTCAAGTAAATGTAGTGGATCAGGTTACATTTATTCCAGCTTACGATTACATAACTGCCCAGGTTTGACGGTAATGCTCAACATCCGAAGACTTTTATTCTTGTTCTTCTTGTGATACTTGTGTTCGAGTGTTTAGATTCTGGATGTTCTTATACTTTGGTAAAATATGGTTATATTTTAAAGTATAATTCTTAGTCAGAGTGTTTTATCCCTATGTATTTATAGGCTGTATATATCTTATTAATTGATATACTTAGCTCACTATAAACAATGATCTGATACCAATCTATCTCACCCCAAAACCGGAATGGCAGAAATGTTCTGGGGTGGATGACGTCATGTCAACTATCACAACATATGCAGTATAGTAATCAAAGTACAACAAGCATTGCATTAATAGTAATAGTTTTACAGGGTTTACATTACATTACATCATCAAGGTAATACAAGTAATAATATAGGTGCAGCTTGGTACTAAACTGTCTTCATCAAAAGCTCCTGAGATGTACATGTCTATTGCTGACTTGAGAATACAAGTTGTTTGAAAGCGAGTATCAGCATTTTTATAAATGCTGGTGAGTTCATAAGTATTTAGTGTCATTTTGTTCAAATAACTTTATAAGAGTAGTAGAAGTTTAGAATTAAGAGTGTATTAGAGTCCTTTCTAGAAAATCCTATATTTTCTTAAATAAGAGTAGTCTACTACCAAGACCCGACAGTGTTATATTTTAAATAGAATATCTCTGAAATATTAACATTATCAAAATACAGTATTTGAGTTTTAACGGAGTAGAAGGATATCTCTAGTAAAATAGAAGGGAAAATAGCATATGCCTCAGCAGAAGATACTGCTGACTAAGGCAAAGAAATCATAGACTCCAGGAGAGTATCGAGTGAACAACACGCCTGGCTCAGTCTAACAAAAGAAGACACAGACCCAGACGGTATCAAATGAAAGATACGTCTAGCAAGGCCTATAAAAAAATAGTGAAACACAGACCCCAGACATTATCAACTGAATGATACGTCTAGCAAGGTCTAAACAAAGAGTGAATGTGAACTTGTATGTAACCATGCTAATCGACAATAGAGTATCTGGTGACCCTCCAGGTCACGCGTAGAGGTAGTGGCAGTAGTAGTGGCAGTAGTAGTAGTGGCTTCATGTCACCCATGGGCCTTACCAGCACAGACTGTAGCTAGTAGTCAGGATGTGGGAGTGTCAGTCCCGTATAGATCTCTACACATGATGTTCGCTCTCCTTCCTGGAGACTCTGGTTACACGGCGTTGGCGCAATGAAGCGCCATAGTGGGAAATAGTGTGTCACATTCTAAAGTAAGAGAGAGACATAGAGAGACAGAGAGAGAGAGATAGAGTGAGAGATAGAGTCTCCTAACTATTCCTATAATAGTTACTAGTGTCTCTGATCTATGAGTGACGAGTGGGAGGATGCCCTTGCTACCCAAGGGAAGTGAATTGATCGATGTAATCCTATATCTCTATGCTTGTATACATAATATATAACTAATGATCAAACGACCATCGGACGGATATCCGATCCCACCAAACCACATCTCAACGAAGAAAAGGAAATAGGGCGAACGAGCCTTCCTAAGTCCTTTAAACATTATATATATATATATATATATATATATATATATATATATATATATATATATATATATATATATATATATATATATATATATATATATATATATATATATATACTAGTAGAATACCCGCACGATGTAGCGGCACGAAATAGTTCCTTTCGATAAATAGTTTTCATGCAACAATTAGTTTCATTTTCATGTCAGAAGAGTTTGAAGCTAAATATATAGAAGCAGGGGCGGAATAGTTTCTTTTATGAGGTTATGAATTGCTTCGGTTTTATTTGATGATGCGGTGGCGGAAAATAATGTTTTTGACAATTAGTTTCATTTCAACTATTAGGGATATTGATTTTTGGAAGTGGTGGTGCAATAATGTTTTTTTTTTTGCTAAATTTCATAAAATATGTTAATGTTTTTGGTTAAATAAAAAAATAAGTTATTATAAAGGATTGAAACAAAAATTATTTTTTGTGTTGAAAATAATTAAAAATGGGTTTTTATTTATACGTAACATTAAGAAACAAATATTCAATCAAAACTCAACAACCATTATGCATTTATGACGGTCATAATTTTTTACTATTTTGTAATTTTTAGGATAAAATTTGTGGATGTAATCATATTTTGACTTCTATATATTATTATAAATCTACACATGCTCTTTTAAAGTTGCTACGACTTCTCTTTATATTCATGTACCATATTATATCGAATATCAATTTGTCGTTATAGAGATATTATATTTGATTCCAACAGTTTCCTAAAATGTTTAAATAGTAAATCAAAATGCAATTTACTAAAACCTCACATGATATCCTTTTAACAAGCTTTATGTGTCATTTTCCAAAGCTAAAAACCCACATGAAGCTCTCCACCCATGTCTACAAAGGTGGTATATATTCCACAGAAAAAACAGATGATACAATTTAAATATTATTCAGATGAAAGTAAACCATCAAAAATAAGTAAAACAACGTAAATGAATAGCACCACCGTCTTGTAGGAAATTTGAATACTACAAAATCATTATAAAACCAATTAAATTTGAAAATGGCCTTAGAAGAAACAATAATCATATTTGTTGAATCATGTAGAGCTCACCACATGACAGCTACTGTTAAGACCAAACTCAAACTTGCTCTTCTACAATTTGAAATTCATATTCACCTTCAAAACCAAATGAAAACTTATACATGCCATGGATTATAGAAAAAGTCAAATTTAACCTTGAAATATTTACCTAAACACTTTATTCATTGTTTTTGATCAGCATCAAAACTTCTTTAACTTCCAAATTTGATACCAAATTTTAAATAAATTTTCAGAACTTGAACAGGTTACAAAATGTCAAACTCATCGTACCCATCTAACAAAAAATTGATATTCTTGTGAAAAAACTCATTGATCTTAGAAAAGCAATGCACCGGTCAGCCAAAAATTATAGATTGCAACTTGGTCATGCCATTTGTATAAGGCATCCACCATTTTGGAAAAATTATAAATTAAAAAGGTAAGTTTGACATACCCTTAAACCTTATTAATAAAATGTAGTAAAAGCATTTCTACACATGAATAGGCAAGAGAAATTGATGACCTGCAACATTAAACAATCAAATTAGCTTCAACATAGACTAATTATTTCAAACAATGAATCGTTCACAATCTGCCACTACAAAATTATACAAAATGCAATCAGTTCTAAAAATATTTCATTCACATATCTTGTAACTGAGTGACAATACACAGATATGCAAAACATGTTTAAGTACCAACAAATATGTGGAAAATAAACTTAAATAAAAATAAATAAAAATCGATGGAGAGTGTGCAATGATCAAAGATGTTCTTACCAGGATATGAAATTACCTACTCTAATTATCTGGTACATATATTTTTGTTCTTTTCACCATCAACTTCTTCATTAAATCCTGAAATGCAAGAAAAATAAGTATTGACAATTAAAAAATGCCCTAACTTACGTAAGAGAGGACTAAAATCATAAACAAAAACACAGTGAACCAGGTGTAATTAGATTTTCAATACAAATCTATGTTTATGTTTATGTCAACAAAAAGATAAAACAGAGAAGAAGAAGAAGAAGAAAGAACAGAGATCTGCTTCCCCTCTTCTCTTTTCGTATTTCGAGTCCATTACTTCTCCTCTAGATCATCTTGGTGCTTCTCGATGTGCTTATATCTATCTTCCTAACCTCCATCCAGATCCAAAGTCTACCGAATGACCTAAATCGTTTATATGAAAAAAACCAAAATACCAGGAAATCAGAATACAAAGAAATTTGAGATAAAATTACAAATGAAATTATGGATACACAGATATAACAAAATTTCATATAGACCCAAGACCTCCCATCGTAACATCCATCCAAGCCAATACTAACAACAAACAATATAGTATATCTTACCAAGTCGTCGATGATTTGATGAGTCGAGAGAGAAAGCGATTGAAAGGGGGATTCAAGATTTTACACTACCATCGCTCAATGTTGTTGTCTTCTGCTCTTCGTCTTCTTCTCTTCATCTTCTTCTTGAAATGATTTTATAAGGGGTTATGATATCTTACACCACCATCACTTATAATTTCATTTGTTCACGAAATTGCAATGATCATGGCAGAGTCGGATAAGAGGAGTGAATGTTGTATAAACTTGTAAAGAAAGCTACCTCTAACTATGAAACGGAATTGTCAGATCTACAAAAAAAAAAAAGAAAAAAAAATCCAATACTTACTTGAGATAATGGCTAGATCTATTAGAAAAAATATTTATTCTGACTGAGGGAATGGTAAACCCAATACCTGAAACCAAGAATAATCGTGAAGAATAGTAAGGTGCAATGGAAGAGGTGATGGCTTCGGGATCCCGATAGAGATGATTAAACAAAAGCTTGAGTGGGACATGGAGGACATTGATGGAGAAGACGAAGGTGGGGGAGGCGGCATCAATTATGCTGAAGATTTGAGTGGTCTTAGGGTTTCTTTTACTGGAGGAAGAAAACTCGTTTTGTAGAAAAAGAAACGAGATGATTTCTGCGACGGAGAATGACGAATATAGGGGAGGGGGCCATGAAATGAAAGATTTTTGCTGAGATCTTAGGTTTCTTCACCACTATCATGAGGACTAATGAACTTGGTCAAACCTCCTAATTACCGATATGCAGTAGTTAACTGTACTTCATTCTTTATGTTTTGTACGACTTAAAAAATATTATTATTTTATTGATGATTATTTGTACTATCAGCTTAATGGTTTGAACGTCTTAAAAAAATAATATTATTATATTCAATCTATTTTTGGAAATAATAAGATTTCTTTTATAAGGTAGTAAGATATATATATATATATATATATATATATATATATATATATATATATATATATATATATATACACACACAAGCACATGCATACATTTAACTAAGAAGAAGCGTATCATGAAGTAGGAGTGTATCGTGAAGTATAAGCGTATCGTGAAGTAGGAGCGTTAACAAAGTAGAAGTGCTAATAAGGTATAAACGTTTACCAAGTAATAGCATTAATGAAGTAGGAGTGGTTCGTGAAGTAGTAGCATTTATAAAGTAGGAATGTTAATAAGTGGAAGCATGAATAAGTTGGAGCGTTTACAAAGTAGGAGCGTTTACAAGTAGAAGCGTATCACGAAGTAAAACTGGATCACGAAGTAGGAGCGTAAACAAGTATAAGCGTATCTCGAATTAGAAACATTAATAAAGTAATAGTATTTAACTAAGTAGGAGTATTAACTAAGTAGAAGTATAACGAAGGAGTAGTATCTAACAAGTAGGAGTATAAAAACATGGAAGAAAACCTTGATGAAAACTTCGGAAAACCTTTATACTTAAGAAAATCACAACTTGGTATTCTTTTGAAAAATAAGTTTGAAAACCATTAGAAATATATTGGGAACCTTTCATAAACAAGTTTTAAATGAAACATTGATAAAACAATATAAGTAAAAGTTGAACAAGTAACGACGTTTTAGAAAACCATTTACAGTATCATTCTCGGTAAAACAGTTAACAATGTAGTAAATCCTTGTGCATGCGGGTTATCAATCACATGTGATTTCTATGATAATTGGCATGTTTAACTTGTATCCCCCCATAAAAGCATGTAAAATCATTTAAAAGGTTCATTCAGGGGTATGAACTCACCTGATATAAGTGGATCCGACGAAGGTGTCGGTTGGGTGCTCGGTGTCAAGTAAAGACTTGAACACACTTAGTGACCTATTAACATATGATAACATATGTTTAGATACAATTAGTACATATAATACTAATTAAACAAGTATATGCATCCTAAAGTGCGGAAAACACTTTGGTTAAGTGCTAGGGGTGTCCCGGGTAATATCTATGGGTATGTATGGCCTAGATAGGGAGTTTACTCTTCAAGAGTAAACTCTTTATAGATTTCACGGCCTTAAGACCATGTCCCCATGAGTTTACGGTCGTAAACTCATGGTGGAGGTGTTCTAGGATGCTAAATGGTCTTATCTCACTCATAGAATTAGGCTAGGTCCAAATATAATGCATATGAAGGGGTTTAAAGTCTTAAATGGACCATTTGAGGAGTTTACGGCTGTAAGCTTCTATATGCATGTTCTTTTGGTGTGTTAAGGGCTTAAATGATACAGAATGAAATCCTATGCATTTTTCCAAGTCAAATGGGGAGTTTAGGGCATCATTTGGGCACTTTGTAGGAGTTTACGGCCCATGGACCTTTCCTAGGGGGGTTTACGGCCGTAAACTCCTATTTCCTTGGATTAATTGAAGTTTAAGACCTTTACATCTATGGGATTGCTTCTAGACATTTTTCCAAGGCCATAGGAGACGTTTGTGGGCATTTCTAACACTTAAACTTGAGTTTACTCCCCATGAAGAGGAGTTTACGGCCCAAGCATGTTCTTGGGCAGTAAACCAAAGTTTACTCCCTAAAATGTTAGTTCAAGGTGTTCTATGTTCGAATATGTAAGTCTACAAGTCATATCTAAGTCTTAGGGGCAATTTGGAGGGGTTTTGGGGCTTAAAAACCCCAATTAATGGTGCTCACGGTCCAAGAGTGTTCTTGGGCCATAAACACATAATCTTGCCCCTATTTTATGTCTTAAACTCGAATTTGCATGCTAAATAAGCTATACAACAAGTTAGGGTAGATTGCTTACTCGTTTGGGGCTTGAAACAGACGATTTTTGGCTCGAAAATAAGTTGTAGAGAGAGAGTGTAGAGAGAGAGTAAAAAGTGTGGAAATGAACTTTACACTCCCTTATATAGGGGTTGGAGTTGGGGGTCAGTGTAAATCTACCCGATACTACCGTTAAACGGGGCTTTTGGTCGCACCCAATTTACTGGTCGTATTTTAACTTGGTTGAAACTAAACATTTTTCAAAGGAAAATTTTGCGGTGTTTCTAATTTATTTCTACTCTTTCCAAGTCATTATAAAAATCCCAAATAAATTAACCAGTCTAAAAGGTTAACGGACAGTTAAATAAAACGAGGCTTATTAACGGAAAAGGGGTTAAAAATGACAGAATAAATTTCGGGTAGTCACAGTGGAACACCTGGACACATTGCCAGAAATTGTCCTAATCTGGCATACGTTCCCTACTATGCACAAGGCTGGCAGAACGCGCCAAGAGAGAGATTTTCTAAAAGAAACCCCTCAAGGTCACGTTTAGACAATGGTGAATGGAACGCGCAGAAGGCTAAGAATCAAACTTTCAAGGCCAATAATCCAAATCCCAAAGGCAAGAAGTGAATGTCGGCCAAGAAGCCAAATCCAAGAGATGCTCCAGTGAAGCCAAGACCGGTTAGGTCAAAGTCATCTCGACAATCGGCTTCAAGTTCAAAATCAAGTGCTGAGCCACCCATCAGAATGAAAAAGAAATGGGTTAAACCCAACTATAAATGGGTTCCAAAGGTTCAATCTCCCAAATCAACTAATGACTATAACGTTTCTACATCTTCTGTTTGTGATAAGCAGGATATGTCATGGGAGAGAGTACCCTGCAAAGATGACAAAGGTTAACCCAGTTTCAAAATGGACTGGGTTCCAAAGACCAACTGATCCCGCTCGGTGTCGGAACAATTATGGAGGTAGATCATCAGACTTCGATTTGTTGATAGTGGTTGTTCCAGGCACTTGATAGGAGGCATCTCTCAACTGTACACCATTTAAAACTTTGTTTGAGAGTATGTGTCCTTTGTGGGAACAGAAGAAAGGAAGGGATCACAAATGGGGTTTGTGCTTAACGACATGAAGAATTTTTGGATCTGTTCTGAGGTTACGCGTTCTGTTCTCAGACCTTCTGGATGCAAATTCAATCAATGAAATATAGTTTGAGTTTTCTTCTCTATACTCCTGAGTTTACCTTACTCTGATTCGTTATAAAGACAATCTTCATTTTCTTAATAGTTTTTCGTTAGTAGGTATTGTTTGGGAAGTGATATCAAAAAGTGATAACGGGCAATCTGGATCTGTGTAAGGTACCAAAGCTGAATTGTCTAGGCTCTCTGTTCGATTCGCTGGTAGGCACGAAGAATTTAAATGGACTTGACAAGGCAAAGATGAACTTAAGAAATCAAATGACTTCACAAATATTGACCTAGATAGATCCGTTTAGCCTAACAATACGTCGCTTGGATAGGTTAAGCAGGGAGATATGCATGAGAATCCACCAGTCACATTAAAGAACCCGTATTTAGAACTGTGGTTTTACTTTTCCTCCATATATAGATTCTGTCCTTAATTCTAGTATTGATGGAGCAACTGGGGAATTCCGATAAAGTAGTTCTGTAGAAAATTATTTTCTTTCTTTCTTACTGCCTCCTTTACGTGATTGGAAGAGATCCAACCTAGACTGCAACATATGCAAATCTATTTCTTTAAAAATTATGTCTATGAAAATCTTATCATCTGCTAGCCATATGTTGTCTTCTTTGTGTGATTAACACTCCGACCTGGTACACAACATATGCAACCTTCTACTTCTCAATCCCTCTAAAAACTATAATTAATAATAATCTAAATCTATCCTCTCTAAGAATAATAGTCTGCTCACCTAAAGTAAGGAGTATCTCGGAAGTTCTTGATTATTGGGGTATATCAGGAAGCGGGAAATGTGTTCTAGTACATTTAAAATTGAACAATTCTAGATTGTCTGTAGATCTCGCTGCTCAATTTAGGTGGACAACAGTATCCTTGGTCGTCGTCAGATAAAAGGTCCTTAGGAACTTTTATCTAGTAACTTAGGATCAATTTGTCCTGTCACTGATAGCATTCCTAAAATTTGTCACAATTTTTCGAGCTTAAGTTGACCACAATACCGACGATCGACCAGATCTATACATGAAGGGGAAGGTACTGACAAACGGATTAAGACTGTCTAACAACTTGGATCCCAAATATTTTTGTTTTTGTTAAATTTGTTCATAGTTTTCCTCTATGCACAAATTTAGGGGGAGAATTAAAAATTATATATTCAAAAATCAAACAAAAATCAGAAAAATTCAAAAATCAAACAAAAAAAATAGAAAATTAAAAAAAAATAGTGTTATTTATGTTTTTTTTTCATAAAATATAAAACATCCAAAAAAAAATTTTTTGTGTGCAGATTTGTCTTTTAGTTTTGTTTTGTCTTGAAAAGTGATTTCAGGCGTAGATGAGACTCGTGGAGACCGTATTGAAGATTTTCTGAGCCAAGGCTTCATCCGTGAGCATCGAAGAACTTTCATTCGAAGGAGCAATAAATGAAGATTATTCTTTCAACATTCAATCTGTCAACCCCAGTAGGATGGTGAAGCTGTACTTGAAGATTATGGGACAGATTGCGTTGGAGCCTCCTCATTCAATTTGCTGCTATCTATGAACCTGCTGAAGTGATCCAGAAGATTCGTTCTCTCTGTTCTCTCTGAAGATTCTCAAGCTGAAAGTGCCATCTTTCATGAATCTCTACAAGAAGCCTTCTCACCCAATGTACGTTCAATGTAAAATTTTGAAGAAAAACCCAACCGCTCGAGATGAAGTCATTCATTCAAGATTAATGTGTTCATCTTGAAGCTGTGAAGATATCGAAGATAAAGGCTGAAGCCAAAGCTACCAATGAAGACTGACAAGAATAGCCAGCTACTTTTTAGGGGGGAGTTTGTTGGGTCAATTAGAAAAGAAAGCCCTAAAGCAAGGGGGAGATTGTTGGGTCAAAAAATATGGTTTATACTTTGCTTTTCTAGGAAAATATATTTTTCTATAATGTAATATGTAAGTTTGTGGCTGTGTACGACTGCACATGTATGTGCGGCCGCACACCCTGTGTACGGCCGTACACGCGTGTGCAGCTGTACACTCGTGTACTGCTGGGAGTGCTATAAATAGAGGAGTGCATGTGGGAGTGTACGGATAGAGAAGAGAGAGAAACTACAGAGGAACTAGTGTGTGTGTGTGAATCTCTTGTAAGGAGCGTAACTCATATCATCAATACATTAGATTCATCTTAATTCTTCTTCTCCTTCTCTTCTATATTGATCTGACATCATCCAATTGATAGGGATTCCTCACCATCAATTGGATCTGATTGATACTCAAGCAATTTTGGGGACTTACATGTGACATTTTTTAGCTCTTGTAAGGCACCATCAAAGGTTTTCCCGTGAGCTTTAAGCCGAAGCTCATTTTTTTGATCATTACCATCTATCATCACATCAACCTCCATACCAGAAAGCGAATGCTTCGCACCAAAGTCATCTTGTGACTGAAGGATGATATTTAACTTGTGATTCAGGATTTTTAATTGTTTACCCGACATAAGCATGAGGTCAGGTATCTCCTCCTCCTCTGAATCGAAATGAAGTTCTTCAAATGTTCCTCCGAAACGACCTCCTTCGGTTTCATCATCGGAATCAGCTTGAGAAGTTATTGGTTGAGGATCCTCAGGGGATTGAGATGGGAATAGAGTCATGAAAGGATGTCTTAAAACATGATCAAATATGGGTGAAGTTGTAACATGTCACACCCCAAAACCAAGAACGGCGGAAATGTTATGGGGCGGAGGACGTCATGTACAGTATCACAACAATGAAAAGTAGTAATCAACCAACAACATCATCCATTGCATTAGTAATATAATTTTAATACAAGTGTTCTGTCAAATTATACTAGACACTAAAGTATAAACAAAATGAAAGATGAGTCTTGAACGAGCTCCATCTTCTCTAAACCTTGCATCGGTACCTGTCTAGTATTGACCTGAGGATACAAGCTATTTTGAAAGAGAGTATCAGCTTTAAAGCTGGTGAGATCATAAGTATTAATGTGTCTTAATTTGTATGTAAGTGTTTTTTTGACATGTAATGAAAGACTTGAAAACGTTTTGAAAGAAAATTCGTGTAAGTATGAAAATGTTTGTAAAACAACGGTAAACGTTTGAAGAACCCTAGAAATCCCTATGATTCCTACTATATTAAAAGGGAGTCTTCTACCAAGACCCAACTGTTCTAAATGTAGTCTTCTACCAAGACTTAACTGTTCTAAATGTAGTCTTCTACCAAGACTTAACTGTGCTACTATTATTATTATTATAAGAAATTGTATCCTTTGGTACTAAGATACTCAAATATAATTCACCTCATCGCTTATGTGAATGGGTCACAAAATAAAAGTAATAATATAAATAACCTAAGTATTGCCCTTTGGTACTAGGGTAACTAACGGTGTTAACTGAAGACATCTGTAGATGTACATTTACCTCTGTTGCTAACAGCTTGGTATAGGAATAGTTAGTCCCTTAAAGTATACCTGTAATGGTATCAACCGTTGACATCCGTGGATGAGCTTTTACCTCTATAGCTAACAGAGATTTTAGGAATGGTTAATCCCACAAAGTATCCTTTGGTACTAGGATATTAAATCCGATCTATCTCACCGATTATGTGATTGTATCACAAAGTGAAGATAAGAATGAGGATTATATAACAGAATCTATACATATAAATGTACTATTCATTCATCATGCGTTATCTATGTAAACGTAATCATGTAAGTGTACTCATGTAAATGTACTCATGTAGATGTAATCATGTAAATGTATATATGTAAATGTACTCATGTAAATGTAATCATGTAAATGTATCTATGTAAGTGTACTCATGTAAATGTAATCATGTAAATGTATCTATGTAAGTGTAGTCATGTAAATGTAATCATGTAACTATACTCATGTAAATGTAATCATGTAAATGTATCTATGTAAGTGTACTCATGTAAATGTAATCATGTAAATGTATCTATGTAAGTGTACTCATGTAAATGTAATCATGTAAATGTACTCATGTAAATGTAATCATGTAAACATATATATGTAATAGTATAGTAAGGTACTGTGGGTACTAGCTATGATGTGTGTTCTCTCTCTATCTAGCAAGTATTGACTCATGAATGAACTGACTCATTGTATGATATCCTGTTCAAGTAATAGTTCTAGTATCTTCCTAAACTACCCATACGGTAGCTTACTAGTAATGTAACTGGCACGTATGAATATGGTGATGGGTTGTAGCCATAAGAACTTTCCTATGTGCGCATGCAAAACCCTAATGCTTGGATCTAGGCTTTCTAATTAAACATGCTTTGAATCCAAGACTTCTAATGACTAATTAGGTTAAATAATAACATTGAAACAAATCTAGAACCATACCTTAGAATTCCTTGTTGATCTTGTTGTCTTGGAGCTTCTAGAGTCACAATTGTCACTCCTCTAATGGCTTACAAACACCAATAGTAAGAAAGATGATTTAGGATAGAGGAGAGGGAAGGAAATCGGCGAGGGTTCCCTTACTTTAGGTGAGATACCGATTTGCCTTGGCTATGGGGTCTATTTATACCTTTAGACTCCTTAAGGGTTATAATCTAAACCCTAATTGGATAATCTTCTCTTAAGGCTATCCAAATCCTTTCCATAGATAATCCCTTGGATGATTTTGAAGCTATCCTAGCTTCTAGAATCCGTCCACTATATATCTATAAGGATTTATAGTCTAAAGCTTAACTATCAAACAATTGACAATTTATACCCCTTTATTTAATTAATCTCTTTAAGTCACCAAATTAATTCTAATTAATTCTATGACTTATATTAATCAAATAACAATATATTATTCTTTATATTATTCTCATAATATATTAATAATATTTACTCTCTCTTAATAAATCATCCTATCAAGTTGCTATGGTGAAGGCAACCCAAAAGGACCATGCACAACCGGGTCAAATACTTGCCTAATATAGTTGCAGCCTTAGACACTATTCCAACAGTCTCCCACTTGGATAAGTCTAGTAACTATATGCACAAGTACAATTCGGTTTGCAATCGTAGCTCTCAAAGACACTTGTATAGATCTAATCAATCTTGTCCTTTAGATAAGGGATCGTACAGTCCTCTGTTAGATATCATGCTGACAATCCTATGGAATGGTTAGTCAAGCATTTAGGTTTCTCGATATCTGATTTATTTGACATAGAACTTAATCGAACACATTAACTTAGTTCTGACCGGGCCCGGCACATAAGTCAAATCAAATCATCGAGCGGCTGAGATATCGCTTTTACCTTCTTAGATAAAAGTTACAGATAAACTTCGACTTATATGCATTTACTTATTCATTAACCAACTATACACAACAATGCGTTTTATAACACTGAGTTACTGATGCGTTTCCGCATTATCAATGTACAATCAATTAACAAATAACAAACCATATATCTAGGTTTTAAGACTATATGATATTATCGTCTTGCGATCACCCTTTTATATCATATTCCATAAGGTGATTCCTGCAAGCGCGGGTTTGTTCCAATGCTCAAAACTAGTTCATAAGCACTCATGAACGTTGCAGCAACCCTTTTCTATGTCTAACACTATTTAAACAATCTACACACCAATTCATGACAATCTTCATTCATATCTACTTCCAACATATGAACAATTGTGGTCAATTTGAACAATTCGATTATTCCTAATAAACTCAATTATTCTGGAAGTCAAAACATGCAAAGTGAAACAATAGTTAAACAATTAACATAAGATAGTAACATTACTCATAAATAAAACTCCTTTATTTAATCATCAAATGTTAATTACATTTATCTATTACACGTTTCTAATACTATCTAATCTATGTTAATATCATCCTTCAGCCCAATACTCCTAGCATGCTGCAAGTGCTTAACCCTACTCAGTCCCTTCATAAGCAGATCTGATGGGTTATCTTCTGATGATATCCTCTTTACTACGAGTTGTCCTTCTTCTACACGATGTCTAATGAAGTGATATTTTCTGTCGATATGTCTTGATCTACCATGATCCCTCGGTTCCATGGTCAAGGCAACCACTCCTTCGTTATCATAGAAAATCTCCATGGGCTCCTTTATGGCAGGTACAACTCCAAGATCACCGATGAAGTTCTTCAGCCATATTGTCTCCTTCGACGCTTCGCTCGTTGCAATGTACTCTGATTCCCACATTGAATCAACTACGGTCTCTTGCTTGGAACTATTCCATGTCACTGCTCCTCCATTTAGGGTAAAGACCCAGCCCGACTACGAACGGTAGTTGTCCCTGTCGGTCTGAAAACTGGCGTCACTATACCCTCGCACCTTCAAGTCATCACTCCCTCCGAGGACTAAGAACCATTCCTTCGTCCTCCGAAGGTACTTAAGGATGTTCTTCACCGCAATCCAATGTGCTCTGCCAGGATTCCCTTGATATCTGCTAACCATGCTCAAAGCGAAGGCTTCATCAGGGCGAGTACAAGTCATAGCGTACATGATTGAGCCAACTGCGGAAGCGTATGGTACTCGACTCATTTCTACTATCTCAGCTTCGGTACTCGGACTTTGAGTCTTACTCAACTTGGCATTACTTTGTATTGGTAATTCTCCCTTCTTCGAGTTTTCCATACTAAAACGTTTTAGTACCTTATCTAAGTAAGTATTCTGACTAAGTCCAATTAGTCTCTTACTTCTTTCTCTTACTATCTTTATTCCCAAAATGTAAGAAGCCTCTCCGAGGTCCTTCATAGCGAAGCACTTCCCGAGCCAGGACTTAACCTCCTGCAGAGTCGGGATGTCGTTTCCTATGAGTAATATGTCATCGACATATAGAACGAGGAAGCTTACTATACTCCCACTGGCTTTGACATATACACAAGATTCGTCTTCGCTTCGTACAAATCCAAACTCTTTGACTTTCTCATCGAAGCAAAGATTCCATCCGCGAGACGCTTGCTTAAGTCCATAAATCGACTTCTCAAGCTTAGACACTCTATTCGGATGCTTCGGATCCACAAACCCCTCTGGCTGAGCCATGTAAACATCCTCAGCCAACTTTCCGTTAAGGAAAGCGGTCTTGACATCCATTTGCCAAATCTCATAATCATGAAATGCGGCAATAGCTAGCATCACTCTAATAGATTTAATCTTCGCAACTGGTGAGAAGGTCTCATCATAGTCAACTCCGGAAGTTTGAGTAAAGGCTTTCGCAACCAATCGTGCTTTATATGTGTGCACGTTTCCATCCACGTCGGTCTTCTTCTTGAAGATCCATTTGCACCCAACGGTCTTACGTTTGGGTACATAATCAACCAAATTCCAAACTTGGTTATCATACATGGATTGGATCTCGCTATCCATTGCCTCTTTCCATTTCGCAGACTCCGGGCCTGCCATGGCTTCCTTATAGCTATTAGGTTCATCAAGATCTACTAGTGTACCATCACTAATATACGTGTCCCCTTCGGTAGTAATATGAAAACCATAAAACTGGGGATGAACTCTAACTCTATCGGAACGTCTAATAGGTAAGGACTCGTCAATCGGTTCAACTGGAGTTTCCTCCTCGGGTTGATTGCCAGCGGTAGAGGTTCCTTCATCTATCAACTCTTGAATCTCTTCAAGTTCGATTTG